CCGTTGGGATGTTTCTTTGGCGCGGTGAGATCCGAGTCACATGCCCAACAGTAGTTTTGCTCCTCAAATGCTCCCCCTTATTTCTGTTCATGGCTAACCAAATAGGTGCATTTGCCTAGGGTTTTGCACTTACCCCTCCATTTTTGCTCCCCTCACTTTGCACCTCTTCCCAAAGAGAGTGTCAATAATTGGTTGTGCTCAATAATATTTTTTTATTTATTTGATAACCCATGTATACTAACCGGGGCTTTCTGCTACCATCATCGGGGAGGCTTCGCCTCCGATACCAAGGGTGCCGCCGAGAACGCACAAGTGGCGCCACTGGGAATCGAACTCAGGACCTCCCACATCAAGAGCTCAATTGGTCCAGTGGGTTTAGTTTTGTTTTAACCTAACCCGAACCCGGGATAAGGAAGTTTTCGAGTTTGGTCAACCGAAAACCAAAAAAAACTCTTATCGGTTTTCGATTTTCAAAGATAATGGGTTTGAGATTTCGTGCATATCGGGTTTTGGTTCGGGTATCCGAACAGACACCCCTAATCAAAACCATCACGAATTTGGTGCAAATTATTTGTTTCTTGTGAAAAACGAAAGAACCAATTTTGTAGGGTCTACAAATTTGAACCAAAATGTAATTTCGAAAACCCTAATAAAAGATTAACAGTGCCCAAACTTTGTGCGAAAATTATCATTTCCGATTTTTTTTAAAACAAAAGTGTCAGTTTCGTCAAAGTTTAATATCAATAATAATGGTATTGATCCTTATGTAATTTACGATAACCCTAGCAAATACCAACAAACCCTAACAACGGACAAGTGGCATTCCTTTCTACTAGAAGCATTACGATTTTCAGTGTGATACATCACATTAAAAAAAAAAGGGTATATATTGCTTTAATTTGGCCTACTAATTATATCCTTTATTGTTTAATCTAATGACCAATGGACACATGGAGAGCTGAAATGCAACGACGTTTCCACATCACAATGCTACAAACCCTAATCGAAAGCTACTAATTTCCCATTAATTAACACACAACTTTTGCAAAATATAGCAATTATTTTATTCAAAAATATAACTTTGTGATATAATAAGGCTAAAAGACACCACTGAGAAAGACATAAAAATCTTCCACGTCATGTCTCCCTGACCTAACCTTTATTATTACAATCCCCAGATTCCCCTTCTTTTCCCCCTCCATGATAACACCGGCAAAGAGCACCCAAGTTAGATACCTAAATCCAGAAAAGTGAAAACGACAGCAAATAAATGAACACAAGGCTAGTGAAAGATTATCCAACATTATAATACTAAAAAAAATAATTAAACAATGATCTATGGGCAGAAAAGAAACACATTACTTAGACTATATTAACGTGCAGCTTGTTGTCGAAAGAAACTTTATGTAGTTTGTCGATTATTGTTATTTTAACATTTATATCAATATCCATTTGCTATTAATTCGTGAAAAACGATCTATTTTGTTAGTAATTTCGCGACCAATGTGGTAATTTAGTTCTCGAATATGGTGCAATCTATTTACACAAGTAGTTTTGCTGGTTTCGATCGTCATGGCGATTCGATTGTCACGATATGAAGAAAATTGAGATGAAACATATAAAAGGCCGAGAATCTCCTTCCATTTACACAATCAATAGATAGGCTCAGGTGCGGACGCGAAGCTACGTCCCCCAATAATTTCGAAAGTTATGTTTAAACATCCGTCACGTAATGAAAGTTATATCGTAACCCCATGACAATTGATGACATGATCCTCTTATTCTTCTGTAAATGATCCGTTGTTTCTTAACGCACAAGTGGGTAAATCACATCAAGTTATCCACTGCTGGAAGATCTCAAAATTTGCACAGGGAAATTAAAGTTCACATATACGTGTATCTGTCGGATAAAGAAAGGAAAAAGTTGGGAGTAATTGAAGAAGAAAGACACAAGTTAGGGCAAAAACTAGCTATTTATATCAGAATTCCACATGTGTCTGACGATGAATGATTCCCGATCGACCACCTTTGGGGTTGGTTCATTCATTATCCAACCTACCCATTTACCCATTTCTCTAGAAAGAAAAATGGAACCTCTTCCCAAAAGGAGGAAAAAAGCAGAAGAAAAGCCTTGCCTTTAGGATCAATTGAACATGCATGCATCTCTCAACTACCGATATACTATATGGATTGAGATTAGGGTTGCAAATGAGCCGAGCTGCTCGTGAGCGGCTCGATGTTCGACTCGAGAAAAGCTCGTTCGAAACTCGACTCGTTAATAAACGAGCCGAACACAAGCTCATCTTTGTTCAGCTCGTGAAGCTCGCGAGCTAGCTCGACTCAGTGGCTTGTTGAGCTAAACTCGTGAGCTGGCTCGTTTAGAGCTCATGAATAACATGATATGTCTTAACATGTGGCTAGAGAGCCAACTCGATTACCAACTTATGGATGAATCAATCTATATCTTATGATTTTAATTCATATGATTATTAAATTAATATCTCACCATATATAAAGTTTAACATGTTGAGTATGTGAGCAAATATATCTTATTTTCTACTTTAAAAAGAAATTATGCGTCATAGATTGCTTCGATACTATGAAATAACATGATTTGGAGCAGTTAAAATTTATTATCTAAATGAATATGATACCAACAAAGTATAATATGAGATTTGGTAACAAAATAAATCATATGTATCATGATATACAAAATGAAGTACCAAATAAAATTTAAGATTTTAATAAACAAGCTAGCTCGAGCTCGACTCGACTCGGCTCGTCAATAAACAAGCTGAGCTCGAGCTTGACTTGTTTATTAACGAGCCGAGCTCAAGCTGTGGTAAAACTCGACTCGACTCGGCTCATTTGTAGCCATATTGAGATTGATCCACAGGCAGTGGTATACCTAGTATCCACAAAACTTTCGGATTAATAGGGTTTATGTTATCTTAATTTGAGGTTGCTCACTGTGTGCAATTATGATTTATAATGCAATCACATTTTTCGTGCCTAATTGTTTTTATTTCTGTATTATAATTTATGCACTAGGTCAGTCTAGTTAGTTTTTTTTTTCACCAAGTTTTGGTGGAGCAGTTGGTAAGGTGGATTGGAATTTTTTTTTTAAAAACGCATGATGTATGATTTGTATTATCAATTATTAGATTTTAAAAAAAATTACATCTATAGTTCAAATTATTTAGGACATCACACTCAATTTATTTTATTATAAGATAATAATTTATGATTTCTATACTCGTTCGATATAAAAATATGTTTTCGGCACACGACTATGTTCTGGAAAATATCTTGTTTTGTGATTCATTACTGTTTTGGGGGATACGATCATTAGTGGAGGAGAAAGATGGTTTGAGCTATGTCGTGGGACACATGTAAGTTTTGGTAAAAAAATTCATATGTATTTATATGAAAATTAAAGGTATTAAATACACTAATTTAAAGTGACGTAAGGATGTTTTGTCAATGTACTAAATCTCATTTGTTATTATTGAATTGCCATAAATGAATTTATTACAAGAATAAATATATTATACATCCCAAAAAGAAAATTGATATTATGCGTTGATTATATGTGCGTTGCCGGACGGTGCCGCCTATGCATGTAAAATTCGGAACATCAAACAAGCAATGAACTGTCTGTCTTTGTTTCGATAACACCAAATGGCTTCTAATTTGGCAGGTCAATTCATGACATAAACACTAATAACTAATCAATGATTATCCCTAAATTTCATATTTTCAAAGTTCAATGACAAAAAATGTAGCCAGCCATTACTTGAATTTGATATTACTCTTTCGTAGCTGTAAGGCTCCAAATTGGAGTTATGAATTTTTTCCTTTTTGAACTGCTAATTTTGGAGACTCCCCAATAAAACCCTATTTTGATTTAAAGCATGTTTACCAAAAAAAAAAAAAGTTATCCCTTTGGTGTATTTTGTCACAAATAATTTGATACGTATATTACCAGTCTCTTTCACGATGGTAATGTTTGTTAGTACACAAGATTATACCATGGTGATATGAATATATGATAATGTACAATGGTTGTATACATAATAATAGGAATATATACTAACCACTATTTACCATATTTCACCACTGTCAGCTACCATTTACGTGGTATATTTGGTGCAGAAATTTTGTTTCAGAAATTTATAAATCACAACAGATTATGATGAACACAATCCTTCTGTGTAAAATTTTTCAAAATTTTAGTTAAAAACGAATGTGGTACAAATTGTTACCAGCCACTAGGCAATACTAAGGCGGCAACAAGTGGTGATGAACCGTATGCAATTTTTTTCTCTAAATATATGGAAAATAAATACTCTTTTAATCACAATGAACTCGTTCCATCTATTTTTTAACTCTGGGTTGAAAAACAAGTAATTAGGAAAAATAAAAATTAGTTAATCTCACTTTTTATATTTTTTTATTTATAAATCACCTTTTTTATTTGGTTTCACTCCAAATCAAAGATTGGTTTTATTTATGCATAACCATAGGTTTGCCCTCTACTATTACTATAGACCTGTCCATAAAGGAACCTACGAAACTAGGAAGTTGAATGTAAAAAGAAATAACAGATAAACGTTGTAGAAATGTTTTTTAGATAACTCTTTGAAAAAATTAATTACGATCTTTTTATTAAATTAATGGACTTATTATTAGAATAATTAATAGGACTTCGGCTGTTTCTCTACCGTTCCAAGCCTAAGTTAGAAACCATAAAAGTCTCATTAATTATCCTACTGGGCACATTAAAATTTCCCGGGGGAAAATTAACCTCTTTTAAAAATTCAATATTTTCGTTAAATTTTTCAATAGATCAAGAACTTTGTGAAGTGAGTTATAATCATTTTTTCGCTATGAATTTGTGAGCAATTCTTTTTGTTAGTGTCAAGTGAGTTATAATCATTTTAATTGAAGTACGAAAGTGTTGTAAAATGTATATAATTACTCATAGTCTTACTTCCAACTTCTAGGCGACGCTTAGGAGAGAAAGGCGCTAGTCAAGGGTCAAGACCAAAACCCCGGTTTTATACCTAGCACCTTAGTGAACCTTAAGACGAGCGCGTTCATGAATCTTAATACTTTCATTAGTTTTTGACCCTTCATACGCTATAATTATTTGGTCGGACTATACTGTCAAGGCCAATTTTATGAATGCTCATTTTCTCAACCTGACCATGAATTCATGATAGAAAATCAAATCCATGTCGCAAATGTTGGCGACCCATGATAGAATTAACCATGAGTTCACGATTTAAATTTTTTTCATATTATATATGGCCTAATTTGATAGATCTTGCTCAGTAACAAATGCCATAGTTTCTCAAGCTTAATGGAGGGTGTTTCTATTGTTGAATTTAGGATTGAATCCTATGAACATAAAATGTTATTAAGAAGTTGTTCACCCAAAAGAAAGAAAAAAGAAAAAGGTTAGGAATGGGTGGGTGAATGTGGAGTTTAGGCATCTATTCTAATCGGCTACTCTCATCTCATCCATAAAATCAGGGTTTGTTTATGGCTCTTGTTTGAAAACAGAAGATTTGTTTTTTAGTTTTCCAATAAAAAAAAAAAGAAAAGAAACCCTCTACCCTGTCCTCAATAATAATAGTCAAATTTACAGAGGAGAAAAAACAGAGGTGTTTGTTCAAATAACAGTCCACCGGAAAGACTAGTGGAAGGACGAGGTGGAATCCCTTCCGTACCCTCAAGTGACGAGCTGTCCCATTACGGAAAGAAAGAGACAACCTTTTTTTCTTGAAGAGCTGAACAGGGAGGAGTAGTTATAAAAACAGGGGCGCCCTTTCACCTTTCTTTTCTTCTGCGGAAAAAGGATTTTAACGCTGCAGTAAAGAGAAAGAGATAAAAGGGTTAAAGCAGAGGGAGAAAGAAAGAAAGAAAGAAAGAAAGGAGGAAGGAAGGATACAAACATTTGTTTGTGGGGGAGGGAGGGAGGGAGTGGGGGACTGTTTCTCTTAATAACAACACTCTTTTTGCCCACACTCTAGAGAGCGGTTGGCTTTCCCTTCTTTTGCAGATTTGGATTTGGTGGTGTGAGTGGCTTCCTTTCTCATCACTATTTTCATGCCTATAATTCTGTTCTTTTAACTGGGTATTGCTCCATTCGTCTCTCTCTCTCTCTCTCTCTCTCTCTCCGTACACCTCTTCTGCCTGTCCCTCTCTGGTAGCCAAAACCCATCTCTGGTTCTTGGTTGATGGTGGTTGAGGATTAACAAGTTTTGGTTTTGGTGTTCTTAGTTTTGTGTGAAGAAGGAAAAGATGGCGGAGGAGGGGGAGAAAGCTGAAGTTTTGGAGGCAGTGTTGAAGGAAACTGTGGATTTGGTAATTAGATCTGAGCTAATAGTTTGAACCCTGCGTTTGGGAAGTTCTGTGTTCTTGTGCTCGGGGGTTTTGAAGTTTGAAGCTTTTTTGCGCGTGTTTGTGAGTGCAGGAAAACATTCCCATTGAAGAAGTGTTTGAGAATCTGAGATGTAGCAGGGAAGGTCTCACAACTCAGGCTGCCGATGAGAGGCTTGCCATTTTTGGCCACAATAAACTTGAGGAGAAAAAGGTTACTTCTTTTTCCTCCCTTCTCTCTGCCAATCACGGCCCTCTTCAGTTCTGCAAATTCCTTTCTGTTTGTTCAAGAACTTGACGTCAACCCTTGTTTATTGTTGTTTTCCAGGAGAGCAAGGTCCTCAAGTTCCTGGGGTTTATGTGGAATCCTTTGTCATGGGTTATGGAGGCTGCTGCAATCATGGCTATCGCTCTTGCTAACGGAGGAGTAAGTTTGCTGGCATTCTTTCGTTCCTTTTGTTTTGAATGTTCGTTTGATATAAGTTTCTTCTAATCTTTCTTGCATTGGTGTTTTCAGGGAAAGCCTCCGGATTGGCAAGATTTCGTTGGTATTATCACGCTGTTGGTGATCAACTCGACTATCAGTTTTGTTGAAGAGAACAATGCTGGTAATGCGGCCGCGGCTCTCATGGCTAGTCTAGCCCCCAAAGCCAAGGTAGACTCAGTTTTGTGGAGAATCTTGTTTTCGGACTGAGAATGGTGAAATGAGATTTCATTGATGACTTACTTTTTGTGTGTGTGTGTGAAGGTGCTTCGAGATGGGAAGTGGAGCGAACAAGATGCTGCAATTTTGGTTCCTGGTGATATCATCAGTATCAAACTTGGAGACATCATTCCAGCTGATGCTCGACTACTGGAAGGAGATCCTCTCAAAATCGACCAGGTAGGTTTGCTTTTTAAGTGGCAATAGCTTTTTTGCTACAGTTCCTTCCAAAGTTGGATGCTCAAAATTGAATTGTGTGTTCTTTCCCTTTTGCAGTCTGCTCTCACTGGGGAGTCTCTTCCTGTGACAAAAGGTCCTGGAGATGGTATATATTCTGGTTCCACCTGTAAACAAGGAGAAATTGAAGCGGTGGTTATTGCCACCGGCGTTCATACCTTCTTTGGTAAAGCAGCACATCTAGTGGACACGACTAACCAAGTTGGACACTTCCAAAAGGTAAGTAGATTTAGACATGGTGGAGGGAGGATCCCTACTTGATGAACTCCTGTTTGTTTTCTTATTTTTATTTTGTGATTCCAATTTCAAGTTTTTCCTTTTTAAATGGTAATGTAGGTTTTGACAGCAATTGGGAACTTCTGCATTTGCTCGATTGCCGTTGGAATGATTGTGGAGATTATTGTCATGTACCCCATCCAAGATAGGCAATATCGTCCTGGGATTGACAATCTTCTTGTGCTTCTGATTGGAGGAATACCAATAGCTATGCCTACAGTCTTGTCTGTAACTATGGCCATTGGTGCTCATAGACTAGCTCAGCAGGTACTATGTGATGTTCTTTTCCTTTCCCAGTTGATATATTGCTAATTGAGTTGCTGTATTTATAACTTTTAGTTTTAATGTGATACTGATGCGGTGGGATATTCCAAATACTATCCAGGGAGCCATCACAAAGAGAATGACTGCAATCGAAGAGATGGCAGGCATGGATGTGCTTTGCAGTGATAAGACTGGAACATTGACTTTGAACAAACTGACGGTTGACAAGAATCTTATTGAGGTCAGTTGGCCTAATGTTTCTTTGAAGCATCTGCTATGGAGACTTAGTTGCCGGTGTCTTATGTATTTGAATGCAATCTCCTATTGCAGGTGTTTGCAAAGGGAATTGATGCAGATACTGTGGTCTTGATGGCTGCTCGAGCCTCGAGAACAGAGAACCAAGATGCAATTGATGCAGCCATCGTCAATATGCTGGCTGATCCAAAGGAGGTATGTTAACAATGTGGTTATTATTCCGCCTTTCTTCTTCAGTTACAGTTCTGAGACTTTTTTTTTTGTTCCGAAAGGCACGAGCTGGAGTTCAGGAGCTTCATTTTCTCCCCTTCAATCCTACTGACAAGCGGACTGCTTTGACATATTTGGACGGTAATGGTAAAATGCACAGAGTCAGCAAAGGAGCACCAGAGCAGGTAAAGTTGGCCTCACTAATTGCCTCAAGGTGCACTGATCGCATAACTCCACTAGAATTTGGACTGATTACAATCTAAAATTGCGGTTGTAGATTCTGCATCTTGCACACAATAAGTCAGAAATTGAACGAAGAGTGCATGCTGTGATCGACAAGTTTGCTGAACGAGGCTTAAGGTCTCTTGCTGTGGCATATCAGGTACCACTACCAGTACTGTGTCCAGATTGCCTCATTTTGAATCATAGACATACAATCTGGCTTTGCTTTCTCACTTTTCCATTGTGGCCTTTGGTCCTTTGCAGGAAGTTCCTGAATGCAGAAAAGAAAGTCCTGGAGGCCCATGGCAATTCATTGCTCTCATGCCCCTCTTTGATCCACCCAGGCATGATAGTGCAGAGACTATAAGGAGGGCTCTCAATCTTGGTGTCAATGTCAAAATGATTACAGGTCTATCTCTATTCCAGTTGTAAATGTTGTTCCGTGCTTGTGTTTCTCTTTCAATCTCTCAATAGATTTCATGCTCTAAAAGATGTGTTTTGTCTGCTGCGTGTTTGATCTTTGCTGACCTTGTACTGCTCCCTCAGGTGATCAGCTGGCAATAGGAAAGGAAACTGGGCGCCGTTTGGGAATGGGAACTAACATGTATCCTTCATCTGCATTGCTCGGACAAACAAAAGATGAGTCTATTGCTGCTTTACCAGTGGATGACCTGATTGAGAAAGCTGATGGTTTTGCCGGAGTCTTCCCAGGTACTCATTTTAGTTATTACTGCGTTCAACCTACATATCTGCACCATATGGATTTTTCTGATTCCTGGCATGGTATTATTTATACCTCAGAGCACAAATATGAGATAGTCAAGCGGTTGCAAGCTAGGAAACACATTTGTGGGATGACTGGTGATGGAGTCAATGATGCTCCTGCTCTCAAAAAGGCTGACATTGGTATTGCTGTTGCTGATGCGACTGATGCTGCCCGTAGTGCTTCTGATATAGTTCTTACTGAACCGGGTCTTAGTGTCATCATTAGTGCTGTCTTGACAAGTCGAGCTATCTTTCAGAGGATGAAAAACTACACAGTAAGACTCGCTGCTTATAGATTGTCTTCTTCTCTATGTTGGTAGTTCATGTCTAATGAATAACTATGTCTGGGTTTTTTTGTGTGTTCCCAGATCTATGCAGTATCCATAACCATACGTATAGTGGTAAGCAGGATCTTCCAGCTGGCCTTCTCTCTCTCATTTCTTTATTGCTTCTGAATAGTTGACCTGATCTTGTTGTCTATATGTTAATGACAGCTTGGTTTCATGCTACTGGCTCTGATTTGGAAGTTTGATTTCCCCCCTTTCATGGTTCTAATCATTGCCATTCTCAATGATGGTTCGTTTCTGTCCTTTTGTTTATTAAAAAATTCCTCTTATTCTGTTCTCTTTGGCCTTGTGCTACTGCCTCGTCATATATGATATATATTAGTCTATATTATCAGTCTGTTTCGTTTTTTGTTTTATGGGAACTTTACAGTCATGTGTAAAAAATTGCAGGTACAATTATGACTATATCGAAGGATAGGGTGAAACCATCTCCACTTCCGGACAGTTGGAAACTGGCTGAGATATTCACCACTGGTGTTGTTCTAGGTAGTTACCTTGCAATGATGACGGTTATCTTCTTCTGGGCTGCATACAAAACCGACTTCTTCCCGGTATGCTTACTTACTTACCTTTTCTATTCGGTAGTCTTCGATTGTATAACAAAGTAGCCCACTGATGAGTTTGTCAAATAATTTTGCCAGAGGACATTTGGAGTTTCCACCCTGGAGAAAACTGCACACGATGACTTCCGAAAACTCGCCTCAGCAATATACTTGCAAGTCAGCACCATCAGTCAAGCCCTCATCTTTGTAACACGGTCCAGGAGCTGGTCCTTTGTGGAACGCCCGGGCGTCTTGCTGGTTGTGGCTTTCATCATTGCTCAGCTGGTGAGCCCGAATTGCATTGGATCTGCGGTGTTGCTTGCAATGCAAGTATTATAATGAATGTCAGATAGTAGCTGAGATCCTTTTCATTTAATGTCAATCTGCAGATTGCTACACTGATAGCAGTTTATGCAAGCTGGAGCTTCGCTGCTATTGAAGGAATAGGTTGGGGGTGGGCTGGCGTGATTTGGCTCTACAACATCATATTCTATCTCCCACTCGACCCGATTAAGTTCTTCATCCGCTACGCTCTCAGTGGAAGGGCCTGGGATCTTGTCATCGAGCAAAGGGTATATTACAATTTAGCTTTGCTTCTATTTTCCCATCTCCATTGGCCTACTTGAGTGCCTTGTTTTTACTGGAGTTTCCTTTCTGGTTGCACAGATTGCTTTCACAAGACAAAAGGATTTCGGAAAGGAACAGAGAGAGCTTCAGTGGGCCCATGCACAGAGAACACTCCATGGGTTGCAGGCACCTGATACCAAGATGTTCACTGAGCGTACCCATTTCACCGAACTCAACAACATGGCTGAAGAAGCCAAGAGGAGAGCTGAAATTGCAAGGTAATAACACAAAACACATATGGCATAATTCTCTGCATCATGCAACTTCGAGACTTCTATGTCTTACGATTCGGTACACGCGCAGGCTGAGGGAGCTCCATACGCTGAAGGGTCACGTTGAATCGGTGGTGAGACTGAAGGGACTCGACATAGAGACCATTCAACAGGCTTACACGGTCTAATTGTGCGCGTACACTGCCGTGAAATCGCAATATGCTCTACTCGAAAGAGAATCTTTGTTCTTTTTAGTTTTTTTACATTCTGCCAATAGTCATGTCTATATATAAGTGTCAATGTTAATTGTTGCTGAAGAAGGATGTTACTGGTTTTCTGTTGAGTATTATCATGATGTACAAACTCAGGTGATAGATTTCGCGACTTATCATCGTCATCGGCTGTCGCTCATGCGTCGTCTCTTTTCTCTCTGCTGCATTGTTGAAAAGAGGTCCTCTGTAGATTCTGTTCTCCTTATGCAACACTGGCCTGCATCTCGTATCAATGTTCACGGCTGCAATCATGTTTAGTTGAGTAGCCTGAACTTACATGGCACGAGGGTAAATAACCTAGCTCCTGATGACGATAAGCTGCGCGTTGATGATACGTTTTTCGGCCTACATAAGTTCGATTAACCAAAGCTGATGCGAGGAGATGAAGAAATGCTAGTCTGTCATTCACTGTCTTGTAGGGAAAGAGAAGACTCAACCAAACATTAAATGAAGTTTAAACGAAATTTTCTACATTTATTACTGGTTCGGTAACACTCGCCCAACATCCAGTATCAGTCCAAAATGCATCAAATGATCATTCTATATTAGCATAAAAAAGGTCGATTAATGTGTCGGTTTTTTATTTTGCTTAATGTAAATATTAAAAAAACCGTAGAAAGTTTCATTCAATGAAGAAACTGAAAATTATGACACTTGCATGCACCAGTATTAAAAAAACCGTAGAAAGTTTCATTCAATGAAGAAACTTAAAATTATGACACTTGCATGCACCAGTAGGGATGGCAAAAATATCCGTAACCGTAGATATCCACCTGAATCCGACCTAATCGGGTAGGGTAAAACTCGAACCCGAAGCATTTTTCGTGGGTTCGGGTTTTTGCGGGTAATGGGTGGGCATGGTTATCTCACTATCCAACCCGAACCCGCCCGATTATACACATGCATATGTATTTTGTCTAGAAATAATCATTATGTTTCTCTAGAATATTTTATATTTAGCATACAAATATAATATTTTCATGAAATTATGTTGTTTTAATTAATTTTCGTCATTCTAGTGAATTATTGTCGTACTTTTCCTCTTACGTAATGTGAGTATACGTGTGAATGTTAACATATTGGTTGGAATTATAAGGAGAAATTATTACCCATGGATAATCATGGATACCCGAAACCCGAACGGGTATGGGCATGGTTTTGATTTTCTACCCGTTTCTCGTGTGGGTACGGGTATGGGTAAAACCCGAACCTAATTGGGTAGGGTAACGGATATGCACTATCCGCCCCCGACCCGACCCATTGCCATCCCTATGCACCACTGTTAGTAATAATTAATTTCTCAGTCGATTTTATATATATAATTATAACTGAAAATAATTTTGGCTCAATATCCTTTTATCTGTTGGCGCTTGGCAGTGTATTTGGGCTCGTGGCAGTGGCACGGGAACGGCTACGGTGCTAATTGTACAATAGTTAGCACCGTCCTAACCAAGAGAAAAACTACTACTAGTTTGAATTAGTAGTGATTTAGCTTAGATGTTGTATTGATTTTATAATAATCCGTAGTGATTTTTGCTAGTTATCACGGTGCTAACCCCTATAAGGATTAGCACCTAATCCCATCCTCAGTGGCACACATTATGGGCTTACATTTGTTGTTTCAATGTTGCATGGGGATGGATGGACCGTCAAGTCATCTTCTCCAATATCTCTTAAAAATTATGAATAGCCATGGAAAAGAATGACTATGCTAGTGCTACATTAGCCTTCTTCCTACCCTTAGCCTGTCCACATTAAGGGCTCCTCCTTTGAAGAATTGCTAGCTAGTCTGCTAAAAAACAAAAAAACGATGCATTGTAAACAATACATGCATAATAACAATCTCAACAAAACTATCGCAACTTCCAAACGACCCCTAAATCTCTAAATTCTAGATAATTTAGAAAAAAAATCTGAATTGTTAAAAATTTATTTTAAATCCTCATTTTTTTTTATAAATGCAATTATTATCTTTCAGTTAAAATATAATTATAATAATATATTGAATGACATGTTTACTCTTACCAAAACAACAAGAGTGTTTCGAGAAATATTTATAAATTTATTGATAAGGGTATTTAGAGAAATAAATTAAATATGAAGGGATAAAGAAGGAGAAAAAAATATCATAAATCAAGATATAGAATCTCTTTGATGATGAGAGATTTGATATCTCTAAATTTCACATAGTAAAAAAAAAAAAAAAAAACACAGGGGGAAAACATTACTTTGTACACAATCTATAAAATCATTGAATCCATGATCCAAATCCTTTTCTCCAACCAACCCCTAGCATAATAAAAACCATATTCCATTATCTTTCAGACTTTTTTCTTTTTTTTTGTATTTTCATTCCTTTTTTTTTTCAAAAATGTCATTCATGTTTCTTATAACACATTAGACAAATTCCATACCCATAAAACACGAGAGAGATCTATAAGCTATAAGAAACAATCAAGTCTTGTCTAACAAGACACCTTTTTAGGTGAAATGAAAGAGTTCTTGTAAGAACTTCCAAGCTAGACGTGCTGAGAATAGAGTAGTGCAAAGATGAATGACATCTTGCAAAATTACCATGATGCACTTTGAAGTGAAAATCACGCGGAGTTAGAATATCCATGTCTGAGTTCGATAACACCTTTTGAAGAATATTGTATGGCATTCGACCATTTCACGATTAATGTAAGTACTAAGTTCGACTTTTTGGTAAAAAAAACATTCTACAACAATTTGGTAATTAACTTAAAAGACGCTTATGTTGTTCTCAATTATTGTGATAACCTTATTTGTCTCTTATACAAAAGGAGGAAAAATTTATACATATTTCTACCATTGTATTGATACTCTTGACATTAAAATCTCTAAAACTGTTGACATTATATGTCAATCGTACAACTACTCCATGTACCAAATACCACAATATCTCACCGTAAAATTTATGAAGATCTAAATACTTTCCAAGTTACCAACGCCTTATAACGTAGTAAATCGACTCAAAATCCTCTATATATCTATCGGTTCAACCAAAGTTTCCTAACCCTATCAAGCCGACCCTTTCACCTCCGGTTCGACCACCTCATCTTTCGCCTTCTTGTACCGGTACCCACTTGAACACCACAAAAAGTAACCAAAGTTCAAAACCCCCAACCCACCAACCAAGTAATAGTAATAGTCGAGCCTCCCTTTGTTCAAATCCTCCGGCAACCAGTTCCCCGTCGGCGCCCCTTCCGTCGTCCGGTGAACCAACTGTATCAGCGCCGTGCTGAGGTAACTCCCCGCCGCGATCCCGCAGTAATTCAACGCCCCCGCCACGCTCCTCATGTTCTCCGGAAACTGCTTGTAGTAAAACTCCACCTGCCCGACGGCGCCGAACACCTCCGCCAGTCCGGCGAGCACGAACTGCGGCACCAGCCAGAACGCCGACATCGACGAGATTTCTCCCCTGTTTCGATCCGACATCCCGAGCGTCGGCCTAGTCAGGGCAATGCGCCTGCGCTGCTCTTCCACCACGCCGGAGACGAGCATCGAGAAGACAGAGATCAGCACTCCGACGCCCAGCCTCTGGAGGATCGTGATCCCGCCTTCTTTCCCGGTGAGCCGCCGGAGGAAGGGGACGAGGACACGATCGTACACCGGAATGAATGCCGTCAGGCTGAGCATGAGGAACACGCCGTACGTCGCCGCCGGAACTTGGAATTTGGTGTTCCCCAGCCGCCGGTCGGCTTGATTGGCTTGGAAGATCGCGTAGGTGCCCTGCTGCGCGATGGCGAGGTAGTAGATTATGCCGGAGACCCAGATTGGAAGGACCCTCACCACGCATTTCGCTTCCTCCACTTGCTGCAGGCTGCAAAGGTTCCACGGATTCTCCGGGGAGCCGTCTTCCGAATTAATTTTGTCCGTGGGAGTCAAAATTGCCGCTCTGTCCAGCCAATTGAACTGGTCGGTGTGAGGCAGGGGCTTGTTGATTGATTTTTTAGGAATGTAATTGAAGAGCGAATTCGAATCCGAATACTTCAAATTTCGTTTCTTGATCGATACGAAGAACACCTGAATCAAGCTGGTGACCGGACTTCCGCTGGCTTTGACGATAACGTACATTTTCGTGCCACCGAAGAACAGAGCGCAGGAGATCAGCATCAGGATCGCCGGAATCGCGAGGCCGATCGACCAGCTGACGTTTGCCTGGATGTAGACGATTAAAGTGACGGAGATCATCTTGGCGAAGGTGAAGGTGAAGAAGTACCAATTGAAGAAGCTGTTTATCCCTCTTCTGCCCGACTCTGTATTCGGGTTGAACTGATCCACTCCGAATGCCAGGTTGCAGGGTCGGATCCCGCCGGCGCCGATTATCATGAGTGCAAATCCAGTCAGGAGGAAGCTCATTTGGCCTCCTGTCGGTTGCTTGCACGTGGCGGCGTCGGATGATTTCCCACATGACGGCGGGTGCAGGCCCGGGATTGCTGCTGTCAGTTGAATCAGAAGCAGCCCCTGTCATTGAAAAACAGGGGAAGGAGAAAAGGAGAAAGAAAAAAACAGGGGAAGTGAGAAAAATGTGGAGATCTGAGATTTGGATCGGAAAACAAAATTATAAGATATAATAATAAAGAACGGTAATCTGTATGCAATCGAATGAGTCTGACGTACGAGGAAGGAGGCGAGGGAGGCGGCGGCGAGGGTGTTGTAGCGGCCGAGGAAAGTGTCGCAGATGTAGGCGCCGACGAGGGTGCCGAAGTTTGCGGTGCCGTTGAAGACGGAGATGATGGTGGCGGCTTTGATGTTGGAGAGGTTGAAGACGGTGGTGAGGTAGATGAGCAAGTTGGAGAGCGTGCCGATTGCTCCTAGCTTCTCGAACGTCTCGTTTCCTGAGGAAAAAAAAAACGACAAAGATTCGTCGACAGTTTGAGAGAGATTCCTCGTTGGGGGAATTGGGATCTGGAAAAGAAGAGGCAGAGATTCTAGATTCTGTTTTTCTTTTCTGGAAACATTACGTACCGATGATGAAAGGCATGGATTTCCATCCTCTGTAATTGGGCTCTGCTTCTTCTTCTTCTTGTTCTTGGTGTTTCTCGATCTCCAAGGCGGATTTCTCTGTTTTGTCTGCGCCATTGGTTTGTGGCGCTGAAGCTGCTGCCATGGCGGGAGAGAAGAATGGGTTGTGGTGGCAGGTTTACAGTGGGCTACTTATGGAGGGTAAGAATTTACTTGTAAATGGGAGAGAGAGAGCACATGCAAATGCAAGTTGGGTAAGTGTGGACTGGACGCAATGATGGGAATTTGGTCTGATTGTCCAGAGATTTCTTGTTTGATTCTCTTAATTTTTTTTTGGTTCCTGTTCGAATCTGATTGATTAAATTTACTTGTTCGTATTCTCATCTTCGTCTTCCCTGATTGGACCAGAGGATCTTTTGGATTTTTCCTTCTGAATTCGTCATCTTCCTCAGTAGCTCGGGCGGTTGTGTGGAGTTTTGGTCAGAGGGTTTGGGATTGTGGACTAGGAAGGTGTTAGTGGCACAGTCGCCAACAAGGGTCGTTTTCTGACGGACGTCCACTGGTGATTTGAAATGGTCTCACGGAGCAAAATTTGTAACCCAATTGCCATAGCAACTGAGCAAGTTATTATGAAGAGGAAGTTATTTTTCCACCTGTGACCCAATCTGTTCCGGCCTATTTGGTTAGGTGTTATTTGATCCACAATAGTGGGGTAATTAGCATAAATGGTAACAAACCTTTGCACTTACTACAAAACGGTCACAAACCTTTAATTTGTAACAATACGGTAACAAAACTTTGAAATTGTATAAAATGGTCACCGCTGTTTAATTTGTGACCGTTTTGTTTTAAGTGCAAAGGTTTGTTACTGAATCGTTACAAATTAAATGTTTGTCATGTTTTGAGGTCGGGTAGTTTGTTCGTTAAGTATATGACACTAACCACTTGAACGACATATAAGGTCATGTGTTCATCGACATATTTGCTTTGCTGAATAAGAATGCCCTCAGTTGACCTTTGAATTTCGATACCAAGAAAGTAAGAAAGTAGAAAGAGTTTTTTCAACTAAAAAGCAGTCTGGAACCCGTTTGTGAGCCATTGAATTCTTTCATTGTCATCCTTTATGACGATCATATCATTCACATACATTAACAAAACCACCATACAACTAGAGCGAATTGTAACGGTGATTGATCGTTCAAACTTTTGAACTTAATTTGTACAAAACGGTCACCAAAAGTCTAATTTGCAACGACATGGTAATAAAAGTTTGAACTGGTATGAAATGGTCACACTGTTTAATTTGTGACCGTTTTGTTCTAAGTAAAAAGTTTTGTTATCAAATGGTTACAAATTAAAGGTTTGTGACTGTTTTGTACTAAGTACAAAAGTTTGTGACCATTTATGCTAATTACCCCACAATAGTGTGGTGCGGAATATGAATAGAGTTTCCGTCTTTACTTATTTTGTTATTGAGCCAAAAAATTGGGAACTGCATCGATATCTACATATATTTTTTTTCCTCTTTTAACTTTTCCAACACTATCTTTCAACTATTTGGACTAAATGATGGGAGTGGATACTGTATAAAATTCCGGTCCGCAAAACCCTGAAAAATACGGTTGTGTCATCGTATCGTGACATCATGATACGATGATACGAAGTATAGTCGTGTGATATCATCATATCACACAAGTCGTGATACGATGATACGATCAGAGTTTTGCAGAGTTTTGCAGCCACGGGGATTTGTAACCAAAGCCCTAAGATATTGTATCTACTATATTTCTCATTCATTTTTTAAGTGATTTATCTATGTGTTTTTGTCAAAGATTTAAATATTAAGGTTCTTTTTTCAAATACATAAAAAGATTAATCGACCTGCCCCGTACCTGCACGAGTTATCCTACCAGACCTGTGCTTCGTGTGAAATAGGCATAGATATTGAGGTACCCATCCTTGCCCTATTGGAATCACTACTTCAAAGAAGCAACCACCGGAAATGATACTTTGGTGCAAAAGGCTTATCCAAACAAACGAGAAAAACATAGATCATTTCTTTCTCTCGGATATCATCGAATCACTTTTTCTTTCTTTTATGTCGATTTGATCTCATAGGAAATGCTTTTCCATAGAAAAAATTGATTCAAAACCGCGACAAAACGAATGTCTTTAAATTATATATTCATATCATCCAAGTTGTACGAGGATAAAGAGGTGAATGATTATAAATAATTAAGATTTCTTCTTATTTTAACTAAAAAGGCTTAATTACGATGAATCGGGAACGGATCAGGTCAGTAACCTTATGGTGAGTAACCATGAGTAACCAGCCCACATCAGCATGACATCAGCATCCCTCTCTCCTGGAAAGCCTTTAATTTTCCCCTTCTTAATCTTTGACAGACGATTTCTCACTCGTTTTAAGTCGAAATTTAATTTTTTTTTGCACAGTTAGATCAGATTAATTGTGCTCTTCAAAATGATATCCACTTTGATATATTTTTCGAACAAAAAAAAATTGAGCTATTTTTTACCAGTCTATACCATATGGTATTGACTGGTATTGAAATAAGAACAAACCTATGGTTTGAAAAGCGTACCATGGTGGTATGAACAAACCAAGACTGTAGGATGGTTGGAGACATGATAGTAGAAGTATATTAACCAGTGTTATTAAAGCCGAGCCGAGCCGCTCGGCCCGACCGGTAAAACCGCCACCCGGTCACAAAACCGGCTCGAAACAGTCTAAAAGCCGCTCCGGTTTTATGTAGCGGTTGGCGAGCGGTCGAGGCGGTTAACCATTCGAGCCGATCGAGCCGCTCGTCCGATTTTTGTCATTCAGCCACTAAATTTAATTAAAAAAATTGTAGAAAATTGAAAATTGAAATAAACCAAAAACGTCGGGCTCTCAAATTGAATCCTTATTTCCATTTCACAATTTCGAAGGAAAGAGATGAGCTTTGATTAAGAAATGTCCACTATTTATACTGATAACGTTTATTAGATACCAGGTCTCTAACGGTTTTTAAACGGTCTAATGTCGATTGGACCGCTAAACTGAGAACCGTTCGCATTACCGGGTCATGCTCCGATTCGGTTCTGACAACATTGATATTAACTGTCATTTACGACTTTTATCATTGTGTACCATAATATACCACCCCGTACCAGGGTGGTATTGTATGGTATTGTGTGGTATTTTTTGGGCATGTAATTTGTTCACCCAGAAATTTGTAGATCCAATAGATCATGATGAACTCGTCCCTTCTGTGCAAACGTTTTCAAAAATGAATTAAAAACGAAGAAAATACCATAATATACCATAATATACCACCCCGTACCAGGGTGGTATTGTATGGTATTGTGTGGTATTTTTTGGTCATGTAATTTGTTCACCCAGAAATTTGTAGATCCAATAGATCATGATAAACTCGTCCCATCTGTGCAAACGTTTTCAAAAACAAATTAAAAATGAAGAAAATACCATATGGTATGCAGTTGGTACCGAGAGGCCAGATTTTTTTTTTCTTAAAAAATATTGAAAATTGATCTCATTTTGTAGAGCAAGATGAACTCGTTCCATTTGTGCAAAAAAAATTAAAATTCGAGTTAAAACAAAAAAGATATGAGCCGATTAAAAAAGCTAGGAAAAATAAAAATGGTTTTTAATTCTCCATCCTTAGATCTGGATTTTCTAAATGGAAGGTCCAGATTTGGTTATTTTTTTTTTGGTAGAAAGATTTGGTTATTGATGGGTGCATAACCCATGGTTATGCAGCCTATCTTGAGCCCAATGAATTATAATGGTATCCTTTCAATTATGATAAAAGATAATTTTGCGTACATAATTTTTCTCTCCTTTCATTATTTTTATGAAATGAAGAAAATTATGATGAATCATAATTCTACTAACTCCAACTTTTATCTTTATTAAAAAAATTGTTTGATTATGAGCAAACATAATTGTTCTCATTTTTTTGCATTTTATATAGCACAAAATAGGTTAAATAAGGACTCTTTTTAATCATTTTTGACATGTCAAAGTTCGCATGTGAGCGAGTTGAATATGTAGGTCATTTTGGGTTTAAATTAAAATCAGGAAAACTATTCATTTTTACCTGTTTTGACCATTCCATCTCACTTTTTAAGTTACATGAAAGAACCTTGGATTGAGCTCTAAAGTTGCCATAATTTAGCTAATGAATGAAGGAATATGGTATAATATATTAGGGATAGGAAGGAACATCAATTTTACCTTAACTTACAGGTGCGCAATTGTGAATGAGTTAACTTGTCGGTAATTCGACCCAATTGTCATTCCTCTACGAGTATTGGTTCAGACCGAACTAGACCTATATGCAATTTCAACGGTTTTGAATTTGAATTGGATTTGAATTGGGTCCTATTTGTATTTGGGGTCAACTCATTTATGTTGAACCCAAATAAGTCTATTTTGGTCTAGAAGATTGCACAAAAAAAAAAAAAAAAGACCATCTCGCTAACTTCCTGCAACCTAGGTCACACATTAAATGTTGGTGTTTCCACATTTCTGTTTGTTTCATAACTCATAAAGACAAATGTAAAACCCCCTTTAGAACCTGGTATTCATTTTCTTTGTTAAGAGCCAAACTAGCTAAAAAGTTGGGTATGATCAGTCTGCCTCAAAAATCAAACTACCCAAACCCGATTTATCCCATAACCAGAAGTGCCGGAATCCGATGACTGAATACTAGTACCATACGGACCAAAACTGTGAAAACTAACTGGTATACTCGGATAGACAGTTTGATCACATTATGATATACGTATTTGCTGCAGGTAAACAAGTTTTAGCCAGATAACTCCTTTGTAAAAAGGTGTTGCTCAATGCTCATAGTTGATTACACGCAATTATTATATCTTAATTTTAGTGCCCGGCCAGTGCTGTGTTTAGTCAACTATATATCAGTAACCTATAATAATGCTTCCGTGTGTGCGTGTGTTAATAGTGCAAGGTTTCTTTTCTTCTGTGATATAATATGCAAAAGAAACGACAAGTTAACGAGTAATCTGAGTTGAATATCCGACCACCTTACTCGGGTATGACTTTGAACAACACGGTGCTCGATTCATGAATGTTTATGATGGTTGTTGTCCTTTTTGTTTTCTATAAAAATTTTGTCTGTACGTACGTGTTTCCACTTTCCAGATCCTGTCTCAATCACCATAGTTATGGTGGTTAACCTGGAGTTCTTCCCTCTCACTGTCACTGCTTTGGCTTCATGCTGGTTACTGGTTCTAAATTCTAATCCTCGTTACCGCGTGCTGTCAATGATGGTGAGTTCTCTTCTCTGTACCTTTGCCTCAAGGGAGACATAATTGGTTCATTATTATGGGTCTATTTGGTTTTGGGTTTGACTAGGGTTTACTTCTGAGCTATCTTTATGGAAGTGCAGCTGCTTAATTAATGGATCCGACCAGTTGCTCCAAAACCATTATGCCAATGTTCTTCAAAACCAACTGCAACGGATTCCAACTCAAGTTGGATCCTATCTTAAAGGATACCAATAATCGCAAGAGATGAGCATTGGGTGGTCAAATCTACTCACAATTCCTTATGTTGTGGGTTGTTCATATACGTATAGGTGTGAGTTTTTAAATAGATGATCCACTAAAGTTTGGGTGTGTACGGATGGACTAAAGTCGTTTGAAATGTATGTTATAAATTCACCGAATCCTTTCAGCTATGTACTCACCATTTCCAATCACACAACCCAAACCAATCCACCCACAAATACAT